GGGAACAATGCTCCGCCCTGTCGAGGACGCGTGGTCAATGGTCTAACCGCTAAGGCATGTAAAACATAAGAGCACGCCCCCCCCCAAGCTGCCCCTCACGGGGTCGCCGTTCATGGCAGATAGAAGTGTTTTGTGTTTTCAACCGCACTGAGACTGACGTCTTTTCATTGGTCAGCCGGTTAGCGCGGTCGATGCTAATGATAAAAAAAACACACACAGGTCGTTTCAAGCACTGACACGACCTCCGCGATATCCCCGATTGCACTCGGGATACATGGTGAGTAAAATATACAAGTAAAATGCGGTTGGGGTCCCTGTACAGTGTTGGATTGTGCCAGAAAATTTACCGGCACTATACCGGACCGGTGCTCAAAGACAATTCAGAGTGCTGACAATGAGTTGGAATTTCAGCCTGTGCCCGCCGAAAACTATGGCAATATTCAACCGGCACTGAAAAGAGCCCCCCACCGCTGTACGCAAAAGCCATCATCGAGGCTCCAGGCTGTAGAGAGGTGCAAGTCAATATGACCAAAGAAAAGGCAAACAGCTACTGTAGTGCAAACCCAGCAAGTAAAAGGCCCTGCTGTAGCACACCAGGTGTTGCAAGCTTGGCACCATACGAAGTACTTCGTGCATGCGTTTGCACCGCAAAAGATGTTGAACTGCTGTTGTTGGCGTCGTGTTTGGCGGATTACTGGAAGCAATTGCCCGCTCGGGGAGATACGACACAGACACCAAAACACAACCATCGAACACCGGAGTACATTCGCACATACACCACGTTCGCACTTCGAACTATAACTGATGACAACCATTTCGTTTGTGCCCAACGGCATTATACATCATACATCATTCACGCCCAAATCCATACGAGGCAAGAGAACAGAAGACGTCAAGTCGTTGAACGACTGCAGGTTTCCATCTTGGTTTTGCTCGTATTTCCAAGGAAAATTCTACGCACCGCGGAAACCACCTGGGCCTGATTCTCTGCTGACACCGGGCCAAGAAGCAGGGAAAGGGGAGAACGAGCGAGCTTATGGCATCACGTAGAGACGCTGACACCGCCTTATCGCCGCACGGCCACGTCTGCGCCAATTTTGTCTGCAATTGCATGCATGTGCCATCAGGTTCACTTGGACAAACTCTGAGACACATGCAAGCGGGTGGGGTGCCTTCTAACTTCCAGTTGAAAGTGCCTACGCAATAGGCAAGCAGACAATTCGTGCAACCCGGTCATTAACAGGCCGGTTGCCCTACCACCAGCTCGGTGGGTGCAAGGCAAACCGAATGATGTGTATCAGTTACAAAGAGCACGGACAGCGGTTGCTTCAAATGCACAGAAGCAGAGGGGCCTATCCAACGTCTTTACGTCTTGGCCGCCGAAGTCCGGTCCGTTCCTAGAAACGGTGCACCGGACAGAGTTGGCGGTGGCTTTCTATCTTGTGGAGACGGAGGACAGCAGCTCGGGGACCGACGCGTGGATAAAAATAGGTGAGCATGATGATGGGCCCCTACTGCTGCTCGTGTGATGGCAGCAAAGTGGTTGCCGTCGAAGGCCCGCGAGACTCTTTTCGCACACCCGCAAAAAAACAAAAATTGCCGCTGGTTGCAGGAACAGGGGAGAGGAAATGGGAGCTGGCAAAGCAGTAGCTGCAAAACGGAGACAGAGGGACCATGATGCGATTACTGCGCCACGGAGAAACTTGAACGCCCTTTAGATTCAACAGTAGAAGATCTTGCTGCCAGCGTCCCGTCGCGTTGGCTGTACACAGCTCTGGGTTGCGGATGAACTGCAGTTGCGGCACTCACCGTGAAAGGGGAAGGGCCAGATGTATGATGCACAAAAAAAAGCCACTCTTCGTGAGAGAACGCCGACAAAAACCGAGCAAGCTGGCCACCTTCCATACTGCGCACCTTCTTTGAGCTTCCGGAGCATGGCCTCCTGATCCGGGTCGAGGTCTGTTGGGGTGGGAATCGCCATGGCGTGCTCCATGGTAGCGCCGCGCTGCATACCAAAAGGCGTCGCAATGTAATGTAACCACCCGACCCGCCGGCCGCCGCCGCGCTCCCACCTGGGGGTATGCAGACAAGAAAGTGTGGGGAGGTGAAAACAGGGTTTACAACCAAGAGGCGTGTTTTGTGAAACCGACGCGCCAGTTCCTCAAAACAATAGACGAACGCCCCTCGCGACGTGCGACGACATGTGCTATGTTTTGTACGCGGGCGTACTGCTGTAGTTCTTTGTCGCGAGCCCGTTTGATGTGACATGATGCTCGCTTGTCGAGCCTCTACCCGGAGAATAAGGATGCCTACATTACATAATAGGGCACAAGGATAGATAGAGTTCGCAGCGATGGTGCATGCGCCCCACGCGGCGGCTACACGGCGAAGAGGATCGTCAGTGGACCCTACCATGGCGAACCGACCAAACGCCAGCAGCAGCAATGGGGGTGGCGGCGCGCATGCTTCGAACCAGGTTCCGCCGAACAAACGGGAAAGACAGGTGGGGCAGTTTGTGCTGAGCAAGACGATGGGAGAAGGGACCTTCGGCGAGGTGAAGCTGGCGGTGCACACGCCGACTTCGGAGAGGGTTGCGGCTAAGGTGCGCGCGCAGTGGGGAGGATGAGCTACGCACAGCGTAGTGTTCGATTGTTGTTGTTGTTGCTCCTGCTGCTGTTTTTGTCTTTCTACAAACCGAACAACTGAACAAAATGTATGCAATACTACCACCCACTTAAGGGTCGTGGGTGTTCGTTTGGCTGCTGTTGTGCGTGACGTTTGTTTCTAAATAGCTATTTGGTGCCCGGGGATCCTGTCGGTCGCTGGGTGGTAAATCTTCTACTGCGCGTAGACCATGGTTAGGGCAGAGGTTTAAATTTGTGTGTGTGTTTTTATTATTAGCATCGACCGCGCTAACCGGCTGACCAATGAAAAGACGTCAGTCTTAGTGCGGTTGAAAACACAATTTGTGTGTGTGTGTGTATGTTCAGCCTTTCCCGAAAATAGTGCATGATCGAAGTCAATCCCGACTTACAAGGAGAACAGCAGTGGGACCGACCCCTGTAAAGTAGGTAATGTTAAGTGTGCTTCTTCTCTCGGCACGTTTCCGCTCGTAACAGGTTCGTGAGAGTGGCCCAAGCTTATACGTACTGTACGTGCACCTATGATGCTCTTTGTCGTTAGACGCACAAAAACTTCTGCTCCGGCGGATTTCCACGGTTCTTGGCATCAGTTCCGTTCTGAGCCGGGATCTTGCTTCCAGGACCTGTTCCTGTGGACGACGACTGCTCAGAAAGGACGCAAAGAGTTGGTACACGGGGTGGTTTGAAAAGCTAGCGTCAAATGGTGAAAGCTTCCATGGGTTCCCGCATGGAAGCTCCCATCAATTCTTCGGCAGAGGATTTCTATTGAACATGAGTAATGACATCCGTGCCTGCTGGGTATCAGCAGGAGCGGGGGTCGCCTGGTTGTTGGTAAACCAGGGAAAGAAAGTTCCCGGCAGTATTTGGGCGTAGTGTGGATACAGCTTGTCTGTGCCAAGATCGCTTGCTTCGAAAGCTATAGATGTAAACTCAAGATACAATATGGACTTGCACGCCTCGCAGAGTTGGAGAGGCCTCAACGTGTTACCTTCATGGTGATGACAAACCGTCCCCTCGGGGCCAACTCAAACTTGGGGAAGATAATTTTTTCCCAGAACAAACGTGCCTCAACCTAGGCAATATTTTGGGGTGGTGAGAAACTCTCCGAGGGCGGCCGACTCATCGTCGTTCACAGTTCACCAACACTCTTTTTAGCGCAAAGCCTTTGTATAGCAACGACATATCCCATTCTCGGTCGTATCCTGGGGTCAGGGTTGGCCAGTATGCACTCCTGGAAGTTTTGTCGGGTTCTGGTGGAAGCTCAGCGCCACATCCTCATGGAACCGATGATCCTGCTTCGATGAATATTGTGACAGTTGCTCAAACATTTCCACGATGTTCGGTAATGAGCCTTTTCGGAAGTGCTGAATAGGAATCATGGAAACTTCCAATGCAAGAGGTTCCCGGGAGGTTCCCATGAAAGATGGCACCCCGTCACATCGGAAGTTGTTGATGCTTCTGTGGAACATCATGTATCATGTCATTCAACGGGGGAAGAGCGGAGCACTCCCGATCGGGTTGATTGTTGCTCCGGCCCTTCTCTACAGAGATAACATTAAGACAGGGGAGGAAAAACGAACCTCTGCCAACCCGTGCGCCTCACCTATACCTCGAATCCAAACACGCAAATAAAAACATTTTTTGAACCAAACGTTGTGTTTCTGCCAATGGTCCAGGTATTGGAGAAGAGCCGCATCAAGACCATCGCCGACGTCAAGAGGGTCAGCCGCGAGATCAAGATCCTGAAAAGGGTGAGACATCCAAACGTCATCGCCCTCTACGAGGTCATGGACACCCCATCAACGATCTACTTCATGATGGAGCACTGTGACGGGTAAGCAGGCGAACTCGCAAGAGCACAAGCATACATACAGGTGTCCGCGTGCACGTCGCTAATTAACGTAAGAGGCGGAAAGATGACAACAACTCTCCACCGATTTTCCAAGCTCGATTTTCCCACAACCAAGATTGTCTGTACCGTACCGTATACAGTGGTATTCCGTAAGAAGCGGAGAGATACCACCCCCCCTAGACCGACTTTCAAAGCTCGATTCGACCACAACCAAGGGGTTACGGAAAGAGCCAAACACGTCCACGGAAAGCCCTGGACGAGATGGAGCAATCGACCTTTGAAAATCGACCTCGGGGGGGGTGCCATCTCTCCGCCTGTTACGGTACGCCGAGTAGGAGGGCCTGTACGAACAAGTGCAGCAGTCACGGCCTTTCTTAAGTCGATCGTCAACGGTCGTCGAAGTGTACTCGGTTGGGCTTCGGCTGTTAGAGCCTCTCGTATTAGCTGGACATTGAACGAGCTCTGATTTGTTCCTGTGTATCTATCCGACGTTCGTTCCCGTTCAAGAATCGATGTAAGCGGTAAATTATGTTGAGACGTAGGCAAGCTTGGATGCCTTGAGCAGCTGCCCCACACAGCTTGGTTTCCTTGCTTGTGGTGTAGGGTTGGGTTCAGAGCTTGGGTCCTTTAACGCTGTACCTTTCACAGCTGGTCGATAGTGGACAGAACAAATGCAAGAACACCCATTGAGAAACGCCATGCAATCCCACCGCTTGTGCTCGATCGGCCCTCTTTTTGGACCTCAAGTGTAGGCGCTCGTGTCCGAAACAACCGATCAGGTACCTGAGCAACTAGCGCTATCCGCACCACCGTACTGCTTGTTTTCTTGCACGTGGCCTCTGGAGCAGAGGAGAGTTGTTCGACTACATCGTACGGCATCAACGGCTTCAGGAGGGGCAGGCGTGCTTCTTCTTTAGGCAGCTGGTGAGAGTTCTTGTCACCCCCCCTGAAAATACAAGCCGTGCGTGGTCGTTCCTCCGCTGGCGCTGCTTCTATTCGATTCGCAGGCAAGCCCCAACAGATAAGGGGTTTTGTGAACAGCGGTGCAGGTTTCCCTCCATCGCAGCCTATTGGACGGTCACAAGAGGGCAACAACGATCGCCACGTCTACGAGCCTGCTGCACCCTCCTCTAGAGCAACAAAGCCTCAATACTCGCCACAAGAGTCGACCTATGCAGGACCACCTTGAAAAAAGTGTGTTGCCCAGCCGTCAAGCCGGGCCGCACAAGGTTCTGAAGTTCCCAGTCTCGATTGAGAAAGCGGAGATCATTGTAGAGAGTAGGCCACAAGAGAGCACGAAGAAAAACTTCAATGGGTCCCTTGCAACCCCCCTGTCAAAGTGTAAGCTACGCCCAGCATTTGACATCCCTCCCCGGCCCCCGCCGATCACGTCGTGGTCGAACTTACCAAGGTGGATGGCATCGAGTACCTGCACAAGCACGACGTGACGCACAGGGACTTGAAGCCGGAGAACCTGCTCCTGCAGTCTTCAGACGATGGGTGGCGACTCAAAATAATCGACTTTGGCCTAAGCAACACCCATGAGGCGAGAGATCCACACACCTTTTGTCGTCACCAGTGCTGCTGTAGCATCCGCCCTTGTCCTCGACAAACTCGAAGGCCTTGACAATGTATGTCCCCACCAGAAAAAAAATAACGCTTGTCCTTCCACGTGGGCGGTTTCTGTATCGCCACTTCTTGGCAGGGAGGGAAACTTCTACAGACGGCGTGCGGGTCGCCGTGCTACGCAGCGCCGGAGATGATCGCGGGCGAGAGGTACTCATAATTTGGACGCGTACTGCAATAACGCTTGCCAGTAGTCATAATTACTTCACAATCGTACATCTTCGGAACCGTTGTCACAAATTTCTCTGTACGATTAGATCGCTACGAAGAGCGAAGTCAGAGAAAAAGTGCGTGGGTATGCTTTTCTGGGGATGTTCACATTAAGTGTAGTGAGAGGCTCTGTTTTCCAGCGTGTCGTTGCGCCTTCGATATTAGGGTGACGAATACTGCGAGGGGAGCCAATCAGCCGATGGATAGCTTCCACCGGCTTTCCGTCTACGTTAAGGTAATGGGATTCGTGGAGATGCAAATGACACGTACGCATCATTGTATTGTCATGGAACTAGTGCTGTAGCGGTGAAGCTCATCAGGCTTGAAAGGGAAAGGCTCAACGATTGCATATATTGAAGACCTTGAGGTGGCCGCCTCGAGCCTTCAGAGGGGTGCTCAGGAGGAAAACCGAACAACCAAAGCCTCGTGGACCCATTTCCACGGAAAACGCCGTTCGACCGAAAATTCGGGCATTATGCCAGAGCTAGAACAAACAAGAAAATTCGTCAACTCTTGACCCCAGTGGGTCGCTCGAGAAGAATGAGGGATAAATCCAAAATGTCATGTTCCACATCCCCTGGGGGGGGCTCGTCGAAGTCACCCCCACCGTCCCCCCTTCTCGTTGCTCATCGGAACCCCCCGACCGTCTCGATGCCGATTTTTTTTTTTCACAACGATGCAGATATCAAGGACCGGCAGCGGACATCTGGAGCTGCGGCGTGGTCCTCTTCACGCTAGTGGCGGGGTTCCTGCCTTTTGAGGACCCCAACACTTCCGCGCTGTACAAGAAGATTTTGTCGGGATCCTACGAGAAGCCGAACTGGCTGTCGGAAGTTGAGAAAGAAGTCACCTCTGTGTAATGATATCGACACTCCCACCACGAGTTGTAGGATGAATGTGTATACTGCGATGCCGTCTATCATCGTCGTACGCGCGCACCACACAGCAATACCGATGACCGGCTGTTTTCGCTAGCAAACACACACGCGGTACACCTGATAGCTACTACAGTTCCCAATACGGCCTTGATGCAGCACCACATGAACCAACCGCCTTTGTTCGATGTTTCTCCCACTCAGCATGAGCGAGCGCTACAGTACCTTGCAACACTCGGGAGACCATTGTCTCTTGAAACCAATCGAATAGCCATGACGTTTTTGTACGGGCACGCGGGAACATGGCACGCACATCGACAGGCCGATCAAAACGAAAGGTGTTTCCTGTCTATATCCAAGACGGTATTAGTCAGCAGGCGAGGACTTGTTTTTGTTCTTGGTGCTGCTGTCTTGTGTGGTGACCGAAGCTCAAAAAGCGAGAGAAGGACATGTATGGGTGCGTTGTAAAGAGTGGTCTCTCTCGTGTCGTCGTTGTTGCCGTCGCCGAGGTTGTCGTAGGAAACGCTGTTGGTGGCTGTCGTCATCTGCTGCCGTTGTTGTTGTTTGGTGGCTCTTGTTTGGCACACACGCCACCGATTGCTGCCTCCGAGTTCTCACTCCCCCTTCCGGGTTGATCCGATCGGTGAGACGCGGCGAGTGGTCGTAAGAGCGACCAATAACGATAAGGTACGAACCAAGAGAAAGGGCAAAAAATACTATCCGCCTGCAGCACGATAAGAACGAGATATGTCTACTACCGGATGGCCCACGAAATGAGTGCGAACGCACAAAGCACGCAGCGCGGCATCTCGTCGACCCGACTCAACCTACCCCTCCGGCACCGCCACGAAAAATTAAACCGCCGCGCGCAGGTGCGAAGCACCTGTTGGCCCTAATTCTTAACACCGACCCGACGAAGCGCGCGACCGTCTCCGTAATAAGGCGGGACCAGTGGTACGTCGGGGCCCACCCCCCGGCGGCGAAGCCAAAGGCGACCCCTTTTCCGGTCGTGCCGTGTCGCCGGTCCCATATCGATGACAAGCTCCTGTCCCGTGCGATAACGCTAGCGGGGGGCGGCGGACGGCCAGGGGGTGGCGGGGGTGACAAGGGCGAGCCTACGGCGACGGCGGTGGAGGGAGCAGCAGCGGGTCTGCTGAGCGGCCGTCACGACCCCGTCGGCACGGCGTACTACCTCCTCCTCAAGAGGAGCGTGAGCGAGAGGAGAGGACGAGGCAGGAGAAATAGTGGGGAGGTCGACCAACGTTGCAACGACGACACGCCGCCGCAAGCAGCAGAAGCAGCAGCGGCAGCAGCAGCAGCAGCGGCGGCAGCGGCAGCAGCAGCAGCAGCAGTGGCAGCAGTAGCAACAGCAGCAGCAGCCGTGGAGCAAACACCGGGCACCGTGCTACAAGCGGCGGAACACGGGTCGGGCGGCAGCGGCGGGAATCACGCCTCCAGCAACCGAAGCGGAGAAGATGAAATTCCTCCTTCTCCGCGACAAAGGGCGGGGGAGTTGGGACACACAGGGCGGCAGCATCCACCGTCAGCCGCGTCGGGAGCTGCAGCGGGGGTGGACAAGCCGCCGGTGACAAGTGCTATTCATGCGCCGACGCCGCGAGGAATCCAGGGAAACCCTTCATACTCTTCGTCGACGTCGAGCTCGAGGTCGGGACAGCAGCAGCACCAGCAGTCGTTGAGTGCGGCTGGTCGGCGAAATTCTTCGACCGGTGCAGTGGGGGCGGGATCGTCGGCGACGGCCGTGGCTAGAGGCCATGCCGATTCATCATCAACCAATCAGAAACCTCAGCAACAGGTCCGGGTGCCACTGCAGGCGCCGGTGCTTGTATCGAGAACCACTCGATCGGTTAGAGCAGCAACCGTGGGGGCGGCGGCGGCGGCAAGGGCGCGGGTCCAAACGCAACAAGAGGCAGGGGCAGCAGGCGGAGGAGGAAGAAAGCAAGCCGCTGCCAAGAAAGACGGCGATGAGACAAGGGTTACAGCGCTGGTGGAGAGGCATCCCAGAAACAGCGGGGGGTGGGGGGCCGCGAGCGGGGAGGGGCATCAGGGCGTCGGGCAGCCTGGGCAAAAGATGACACCGCGGAGACCAGTTCCCAGGCTCTCCTTCGGAGGAATATCCCGAACCGCGGCCGCAGAAAACATCGGCGGAGGCGGCGAGGGGGGGAAAGGCACAACCCGACCTTTGCCTTCGGCGACAGTTTTCACGAGCCAAACGGCAAGAGCACATAGCGGGGGAGATAACCAGGTGAGCCAGCAGGGGGCGCCGGCGGATCATTCCGCGAGGAACCAGCCGCGCGGCGGCGGAGTCGGCAGCGACGCCCCCGCCGATCACCCACGCGACCCCCGCCGAGAGAGCAACCGCAGCAGCAGCAGCAGCAGCACAAGCGGGAGTAGCGCCGGCGGCTGGAAGACGGCCGTGGCGGGAGGAGGAGGAGGAGGAGGAGGAGGAGGAGGGGGAGTTGGAGGGGGAGGGGGAGGGGGAGGAGGTGCGCTCCCCCGCCGTCCGCTCACAGCCCGGTCTCCACTCCGATCTTCGGCACCAACCCCTCGCCTGTCTAGCGACTTCAGCCTCGCTCGCCCGCGGGGGTCGCCGGTCACCGCCGCCGCCGGCACCGGCGGTCGAAGCATATCCAGCGCGGGGCCCTCCCCAAGAGCGGCGGTGGGGAGAGTATCATCTGGGGTTGAAGTCGGGCGAGCACCCCTGAGGGCATCGCTCGTGCCGTCGGCGGCGGTAGCGGATTCGGCGACGGCGAGAGCATCGTCGGTCCCGGCAGGAGGAGCGAGGCCGTCGCCGGCTCCGGGCGTAGACTCAGCCCCGGCGACGGCGGCGACCTCGCCGGTGCTGTCGGTCTCCACGAACAGATCGACGGCGAGGCAGCAGCCTTCTCTGCGGGTACGGCTGCGAAACATCTCCTCCAAGCCGGGGGTTTCAACGCAAAGGCGGCTGGACCGTCCGGAGAGGACGGAAGAAGCAGGCGGTTCTGGGGTCACGGCTACCGTACGCGGGGAAGTGAGAAAAAGCGCGGCCGGTTCCTCGTTCCGCCCCGCGCCGCACTGCGTTCCCTTTTCTTCGGCGTCCGCGGGGACCGCTGCTGCCTTGGCGCCGACCGGCGGGGCGGGGGCGGGGGAAGGGGCGCGGGATTTCTGGGGAAAGCGTGCTTCCGCAACGCTTGAAGCCGATGGTGCCAGCGGTGGTTGTGTCGGCGTTGGTGGCCGCAATAACGTTCGCGTTTCGTCGCCAGGCGGCCCAACCTTCAGAGCGCCGCCGCACGCGTCAACCTCCGCGGCAAAGTGCTGCTAAATAGGTAGATTGTTGCTAGCGGAAAAGAGAGTATAGTTTCAAGGACGTTGATTTTCGTTGATTTCACTCCTTTCCCCCGGGAGTAGTGAACGTCTATTCGCCGCCCGAATCGAAAGTGCAAGCTTTAGGCAACCTGTGCTCGACGATGGCTGCCGCCGCTGGTGTGCGCGCCCGTGTATGGAGTTGACAATCGCGGTTGTATGATTCACGTGCGCGTTCGGTACGGTACGGTGCCACACACCGATCGCTTTGGGCCAGCGGGTGCTGCGTCCATGGACGACCCCGCTTGCACATCGCGGACAGACACACTACAATACGCTTTCGGGGTAAAAGAACAATATAAAACGTTGACAAGGAGCACCCAAAGACCGCAACACCTTCGTTTCTCCACTGTTGTAGTAGTGTAGACGTTGTGTCGTCAAAAAAGCTCAACTGTAGCGGGTGATTCGTCGCCCCCCAGCCAGAAACGTTTCTGTCTCGGCAGTGCAACGTCGGCGAGAGAACAACACGATGAAAGCAAAACACACCACCCGACCCAGGCTCTGGCTTGACCCCCTCGATTGTGTCTGCTATCACCACACCTAGACTAGACTAGTCATGAACAGAAATGATAGGTAGAAGACAATGTTTACCAACGTACACAACAAGACTCTTCAACAGCCCTGCTTGCCGAAACAACGAACCTTTTCAACTGCAGTTACTGAAGTTCTTGAACACGCGCATACCTCGACTTCTCCCGAACAATGGTCGAGACATGATGTCAACCATAACCTTCCTTTTAAGATAAATTTACACCAAGTTACTAATGGTGTAACTTTATCTTACAGAAGATATACGCTCAGCTCGTTAGCACCCGGCTGGACCACTTGGGTCTAGAGCTTATTGAGAGCAGGGATCTCCGGGGCCGGCCGGAACCAGACGCTGCCTGAAAAGAACATAATGGTGCTTGGGAAAGTGCGTAGCCGGGATTCGAACCCATGCATGAATTTTTTGTCGCCAATTGTTAAACCATTTGTCTAGTAACCTTTATCTTCCAAAAAGATATGCGCTCAGCTCGTTAGCACCCGGCTGGATCGGTTGGGCCCAGAGCTCATTGAGAGCAGGGATCCCCGGGACCGGACCCCTCGCCGAACGCTATCTGAAAAGAACATAATAATGCTTGGGAAAGTGAGTAGCCGGAATTCGAACCCGTGCGTGAATATTTTGTCACCAACTGTTACACCATCTGCCTAGTCCAAGTAGTCCAGCTGGGTGCTGACGAGATGAGCGTATATCTTTTGTAACATAAAGTTACACCATTAGACTAGTGTCTCCCGAGAGACAACGTCGTGAGGTCAGAAAAAAAAGAAATTCTGTCAANATAAATGCGTTTTGAAACCTACAATCTCCTTCGACCTCTCTGCAACATTCGAATTTTCTCGCGCAAGAGATGCACAACGCAGGAATGACACCCAAACAAACGACGTCATGAAAAGCGACAACACTTACCGAAACAAAACGAAACACACGAAATCACACGAAATCTTACTGGACATCACTCACNGGGGGGAGGGTGCTGACCCTTACCCTACACGCCCAACGTTGTAAAATAAATGCGTTTTGAAACCTACAATCTCCTTCGACCTCTCTGCAACATTCGAATTTTCTCGCGCAAGAGATGCACAACGCAGGAATGACACCCAAACAAACGACGTCATGAAAAGCGACAACACTTACCGAAACAAAACGAAACAAGACGAAGTCTTACCGGACACCACTCAGGCATTACCCCGGTTGATGATGTTTGTAACGCATAAAACACGACTTCCGCAAAATTGTCTCCACGTCCTCGTAGAGGCGCATGTGGATTTGGCGCCCGACGCTCTCCCCCCTTATAAAAAAAAAACTTCTCACCCGCCCGTGCGCCTTCCCTTCCCTTTCACCCCCTCCCCCCGCCCGGTGTTTGCCATCGAGGTTGGGTTTTCGTCGCTTGCCAACGACGTTGTAAAACAAGCC